AAACAATTCTGCATTATTTCAAACTTGATATAATGAAATAATGATAAAGGAGTATTTCGTTCCTTTTCTATAATCCTCCTACCTGGGATATATCTTCTGCTCCTTTTTGATTATCTGAATCTTATATACTTGTCAGAGGTCAACTTAAATCCTTTCTTTCCCACAGTTAATTTCCTGTTTATTCTAGTTCATAGAATTTCTTTCATTGCATAATTCTGAAAAATGCAATCTCCGCTTCTCATTTGACATTGAACATGATACCTTATATTGTTACTTTATATTTTAGGTGTCTGAGTTCTGTTTCCCTGTTAAAACTGCAAGCATTTGAAGCACATAAGACCAGGTTACACTTTTTGTAACCCTTATACTACTTACGTCAGTGCCCTGAGTGTTGTAGACATTAAATTATTTTTGAATAAAAGGGTGAAATTGAAGGATACGATATTTTGAAAACAACATTCTCAGCATTCAGATGAGTGCACTACTTATTTAGAGTGCTGGCTGTCAGGCTGGTGGGCTTTGGAGCCTGATGTAGTTGGATGTGAATCTGTCTTCAGCCACATATCAGTTGTGTAACTTTGGCTCATTGCTCGGCATTATGATAAGCATGATCATTTCATTTGCAGTAGCACAGATATAGTGTTCATTCATTCATTTATTTATTCCACAAACTGTTACTGAATAGTAAATGGCAATATAAAGAGATCTAAAGTGAAATGAGCCACAGTTCCTGCTCCCAAGTAGCTGAGAATCAAATGTTGCTTTAATTTTTAGAGAATTGCTTCAGGGTGTTGGTGGTGTTTGTGTATGTGTACGGGTGTGTGTATGTATATGTGTGTTGACCAAGGAAGTTACCCATATATATTCTAGAAGTTTTTTAATGTGGTCACATATCTCTTTAACAGAATGGACTCATATTTCTGGGTTGGTCTTTTAAATAGACTTAGTAACAAATGACTTGAGGAGGAACAAGTTACCTAAGTACTTTAACATTTCTCTTCTATTACCAATACCCATGGTGCCTAAATACTTCCATTTACAGTTATATTTTCACATTAAGTCAACATTATCAGAAATAATTTGTAAAACACACATTTCAAGGAAAGAAATATCACCCATCAATACACAGCAGGGTTACTGAATTGAATTCACTCAGTCACTATATGTTCAATGTGTGTTGGGTCAATATATGATAGATACCATACCAAACCCTGGAGATAAAAATCATGATTAAGATGGACACAATCTTATACTCATGGAGTTCAGAGTTGTGTGGGGGGAATTAGTTATCAATCAAGAAATCACATAAGTGAATATAAAATTGCTACTGTGATAAGCACTGTGGAAGGAAAATCTTGGGGCTCATTCAGTAAGAGTGCATTCTGGGAGATCTGATTCAGCCAGAGGGTCGGAGGAGCTTCCCTGGGCAAAGAAAGAGTGAAC